ATCCGCTCTATAGAATGCTAAATAGAGGATTACGCCTCCAAGATATCGACATCGTTTTCACTTTTCGCTCGTTTATACAAGACTTGTACCAACAGTTGCAACAGGAATACGAAACAAGAACAACAAAACTGCATACAATAATAAGATTGTACCGTGGACAAGTTATATCAGCTGATGAATTAGAGATAATGAAAGACAGTATTGGCGGCTTGTTATCAATGAATAGTTTTTTATCGGCGAGTGGAAAGAAGTCGGCAGCACTAGCATTCGCAAAATCTATTCATCCATCAGCGGGTTTTCACCCAGTTTTGTTTGAGTTGGAAGCTGATCCAACACGAAAAACAAAACCATTTGGACATGTCAGAGACCAGAGCTATTTTAAGGAAGAAGATGAATGGCTGTTCATGCTTGGTTCTGTATTTCGTATTACTGGCATTCACGAGGACTCATATGAAAAAGTCTGGATAGTTCAGATGAAATTGTGCGATGAGAATGACTTTGAATTAAAAGAAGTATTTGGGTATTATAAAGCAAAACTTGGGAGAGAAACAACACTCGATTCAGTGGGCAATCTCCTCTATGAAATGGGCGAAGTTGATAAAGCAGAAAAATATTATCATCGTGTAGTTAACGAGCTGCCACCGGACAGTGTTCTAGCTACACGTAGTTATACCGGTTTAGGGCATGTAGCCGATGATAAAGGAGATTATGCAGTGGCATTTGAATTTCACAATCGAGTGCTCAGTATACGGTTGAAAGTTTTAAGCCCAAATCATCCGTTACTGGGATACAGTTATGTCAATATTGCTGGAATATATTATAGCATGAAAAATTATGATCAAGCATTGGAAATGTATAATAAAGCTAGCGAAATTTTTAACAGTTCACTTCCGGTGAATCATCAGAATATCGGGCATAATTATAACAATATCAGCCTCGTTTATGCAGCAAAAGAAGATTATGAAATGGCAATGAGAAATCTGCAAAACGCCTTGAAAATATTGGAGAAAAGTCTACCCGCGAAACATCCTGATGTGAGTGGTCGATTATTTCCTATAAAAACTTAAGATTAATGACTGAGTGTATTTTAGATCGCTACATGTTGTAGTAATATTGGATCAGTATATCGAAATCTTGTTGAGTATGACTCTGCGTTGATTTACCATACAAAAGCACTGGATATGCGAAAACATGCACTGACTCAAGATCATATTGATATTGGAGTTAGCTATTTCAACGTTGCAATTACGTATGAATATCAAGATAAGCTCGAACTAGCATTAGAAAATTACAGTGATGCACTCGCAATTAAGCGAAAACATCTGGATGATGATCACCCAGACTGTGTTCTAACTCAAGATTACATTGATGATGTCATCAGAAAGATAGAACAGGTAAGTCTGTGCCTACAAGATTTATACAGTCCATACACTAAAAGCGAGATGTGCATATTTTATTTAAAAAATTCACACATCTCATGCAACACTTACATGTTATGTAATATTTTACGTACGTTTAATGATCATTTTCAGTGCATAACAATGCATGCTATGTGCGTCGTCATTGAATAAAATACACCTTTCTCTGTATCATGAACCATGAGTGCTTCTCCCGAAGAACTGATATTTATTTTTTGTAGTTTTTATTCATGAGTACGATAAATGACATGGGGATGTCAAAGTCTTTAGAAGCTCTGAACTGTTTCTTTTCTGTCCACTTTTACACGAGAAAACTGGGTACTTTTTCCACGGTGAATAGAGTAGCGAGAAATTGTACATCCGTGCATAAAATTAAATAAATAAGAAGTTAAAATCAAATTATAAAATTATGGTATTCATTTAATTTTAAGCACAGGTGTATCGTGCAATTTATGCTAAAGAAACTTTCCACAATATTATGCTGTGTTGTGCTCCTTTTGGAGTATTTCGCATAACTGTGAGCGACTGAGAGTTAGCGGTTTATGAAAGGACTGATTAATAATGCCCGCCATAGTGTATAACATTGAGGGACAAAATATAGCAGAAAGAATGGTACTTCTACTGGCTTTCCGATTTTACTTACATGCTGAAATCTTGGTGAAAACGTCAAACGCATCTTATTTTGGTCGGGGATCCTCCCTCTTTTAAGAGACGGTCTTTCCACCCAGATTTTTCGCTCTGTTTGTGAAGCACACTTTGAAATCCAAAAATCAAAATTTTTTCATTTCCCGGAATTCAAGTTTTTTCAGAAAGAAATTTTGAAGTTACTTAGAGATTTTTTGCCCGTTTTCTAAAATCTCTATAATATAATTCAAAATGCTTCCCTGAAGCGAAATCGTGCTCAAGGTTTTCAGAAATACTTTTGCGTCGAAAGTGAATCGTCCGAGTCAAACTCAAATATCTCAGCCAAACTGAGTCAGAAAACAATGCAAAGTTTTTTCTGGATACATCTCGATGTGCCTGGGCGATTGGCACAAGAATTAGCATTTCATCTCAAAAAACAAAAATTCTACAGAAATTTTAAAAAATGCGCAAAAGACATTTAATTAACTTCGAAATTTTTTTCCGAAAAAACTTGAACTTCGGGAAATTAAAAAATTTTGCTTCTTAGATTTCGAAGTATGCTCTACAGACAGCGCGAAAAATGTGGGTAGTAGGATTCTCTCCTTAAGAATAGTTTTCTTCAACAAACCTAATATGCGTCTGATGCTTTCAGAGAGATTTTGGCATGTAAATAAAATCCCTGAGTCATTGAAATTCGAAAGTAAGATAGTTTGAAAAACCGTTAATGATAGATAAGATAAGATAAGGTTTTATTTTTACTAAAGTGCAGGATATCACAAAAAAGAACAAAAGACTTGTGGCATCCGTGGATACCCTGTGATAACCGAAAACTAAAAATTTAAAAATAAACATTATTAAAAGTCTGTGTAACCTCTCAGCATATTTTTAAATGTGGCTAAAGAAGTTTGACAGGCTAAAACAGAAGGTAGTTCATTCCAATCTTTTGATGTTCGCGGAAGAAAAGAG